ATGGCTTACTGAAGGCTGAGCTGATATTGCTCTGTGTTTAAATAATATTGTCATGCAGAGTTTGCATTGCCTTCTAAACACGATTATTTACAAATAATCTGATATTTATAGTGTCTCGTAAGTCCCAGAAGCTCTGGTTTTTTTTTTACATTAGTATTGCAATTGCACACCTGCCACTAAGATCATGTCTACAAAATCATCTATAGAGTTGGGAGTCAATTTTAGTTCAAAGCTAAAATGGAAAAACCATATTATTGCAGTGGTTATTAGCTTATTAGCTGCTAAATAAAGAAATAGTTTAAATATAGTGTTATTTTTTAAAAAAAAATACTGAATTGACCATGTACAGACATATTGTGTATCTCACTAATCTCACTATTACCAGTGATAAACTTAACTCTGGTCAGTTGTCTAAATGAAATCTGTTAGTAAATAGTTACCAGAGACCTAATCATCTCTTGCATAAATGTTGCTGGAAGGGCTTTGGGGCTGAAGCCCGCGATGTGGGGCTCGTTAACCCCGGATCTCCATAGTTGGCGGAGTGATCAGGTAGATATTAATTTGTTTTGTTTTTTTACATTTTTCACTTTAAATCCAGCAGCTGCTTCTTAATGCAGGCCCCTATTAAAAAATAAAGAATAGTATAATGCTCAGCCAACCCACTTAGGGTGAGTGATGTCCCCCAGGTTATTGTCAGGAAGGGGTGCGCTCTATCAGCTAGATAGAAGGACGGGATAGAATCGAATACCTGGGTATGCATCATGTGCATCAATGTTTTCATTGAGATCCTGGACAGCATCAGAAACACACTGTACATGGGTAGAGAGTGAGGTACATAGAAAGATAGGTATATGTCAAAGCATATCCCAGCTCTCCAATAGTGTAGGGGGTCATAGAGTTGCTTTGGGCTCAAGTCACAGGTGTTTCTGGAATATAGCAACACCCCAGATTTCTTATAATAGAATATAGCCCTGCATGTTTAGCCAAATTATTGACCATGAAGTCAAGCGTAAGTAATGGGAACTTATCATCTTACAGCCTGGTTCGGTCAATAGCTGCTGTAATGTGTACGTCTGTTTTTTTTAACTAAACATATAAAAATGTATAACTAAGCTGGAAACATTAGTTTAGGCAAAAGTTTAAAATTAAACCTACCATTCACCAAAATGTAAGTTCAAAAAAGTTAAATAAAAAGCCGAGTGATTGATCCAATGCTCATTTTTACTAAATAAAATCTGTTGTTAGTATGGAATAAAATAGTTAAATGGTCATGCAAACAATCAACATTACCATATACGTATGGTTAGTTCAGCCATCGCTTGGCTTCCCAAACTCCTTTAACAATACTACCCCAGACAATGACCCACACCACAATAAGTAAAACCACATTGATGTTCGTAATGGCTTCATCCATACTCTTCATATCAACTTTACTCCCATTGGGAGTTGTTCCTCATGTTATAATGCTGAGGCCCAGTGACTATATATTGCTCGATATATAATGTGGTAGGCATCAGTCAGCAGCCTAATACAGTACCAGAATACTAATGTCACAGTTCCCAAACTATAGGCAGTCATGCACAAGAGCTAATTACCCCCAAAGATGCACACAAATCGCAAATTATTTTGCCTAAGCACTTACCAGGAGATGATTACCAAACACCTACTAAACCTTGGCCTAGTCATTCTACCTAATCAGAATCCTGGCCTTTTCACATTACATAGCAGATCCTGCTTACAGTAATCCCTTTCCCAGTGAAGGCCAACACTGGCATCCCAGGTGTGTGTGGACTACATTTCCCATGATACTCAGCCATGTGCTGCCTGAGCATCATGAGAAATGCAGCTCACAGACATCTTGAGTGTGAAGGTTAGGCATTTCCATCTAATACCAACCAGTTTTAGTTTCCCTTTTTTTTTTGTGTATTTGCAGTTCTGGTGAAGCTGTTTAATGGTGCTAGATAATCTTTTAACCAAACCATCTACCCCCAGCCTGAGATCCTCTACCTATTTTCTTTCTGTTAATTAATCTTGTGTGACAAAATGCATCCATACAAAACCCCATTTATACCCGTGGGATATCTGAAAGTCTCAATCATACCTCTTCTTCTTTCCGGCAGGGCGAAGGGCACAATTGCTGAATGTTAATGTGCTGTCAGTTAGGGAATGTATCAAAGAAACAGCCACAGGGTTTCCGGTGAGCATGGATATTGCTCCTTTCCCCATCCCCCACTGCATACTGCAGATTTTCTCCTCCTCCCCCACACACTGAGCTGTATCCACACAGTGCCTAGAGCTGGCTTGCAGTATGTGCTGTTAATTGGTGGCTTGTTCCTGCCCATATCTCTGTTTCTCATTTTCTCAAGGACATAGGAGTAGACACAATACAGCAGCCACATAGTAACACTTCAGAACAATGGCAACGATGCATGGCGTCTGATGCAGCTCTAGGGGCAAATCTTTTTAAATTCATTTCTTAGGCCAGTACTCTTTATCGAAATGCTACCAACTGTTTGATGCAAGTCTTAATGCCGTATTTTGCCAAGTGGTAGTCATGATTGCAAACCCTAGGGCCCCAAAATAATAACGGATACATCTCCAATTTTCAATCAAGGCCGTGACAAACAAGAGTCTATAATTATTATGGGAAAAAAATAGGGAAACTCGTACATATCCCTGAAATAGTTGTTATCTGTGCAAAGTCTCAGAAATTGTGATTATTAAATTCTTATGATTACTGAGATATATTTATAAACATTTTTCTTGGTATAGAGTGTTTAAAAAAATGATTGGAATGTTGGAATCACAAATATTTTCCAATTTGTGAATCTAATTTGAATATTGCTCAGTTAATTGTTGAATGTACTGCTTATTTGTTTATCTTTATTTCCAACGTACGACGACAACAGATATATATGAGGTTTAACTTCATGGACTTCTAACACTAAATACAGAAATTTATATTGGAATAAAAATACTAGATTGATAGTCAGCATTTAAAGGAACATTCTAACATTAAAAAAGTTATTATATATATTTTATTTTGCGTGTTCCTCACAAGGTCTAGTTTATGGGCCTCCCTTTGTCAAAAAAAAGGCTGAAAGAAGCAATTAAACTGATCCTTTAATCCAGTGCAGGAACAGACTCCTCACTGCAGTCTGATCTATCCTTTGTGAGATCATTAAACATGATGATCTTTGTTCAGTCCAATGCTTCTCATAGCAAAGTATCGTGGACGCATGCAGGACAATTACCATAATCTGTCAGTCCATTGTTTTACATTGTCAGAGAAAAAGGGCAGCATCCATGCTCCGAAGCCACACTAATAAGACGTAGTGGTTTTGTGTTCTAGTGGCCCTTTAACGTGACTGCAAGAATCAAATACTGGGAGATACAGGAAATAGAAAATGAGCTTGGTATGTTGTGGATTTATTTAAAACATTTTTTTTTTCCTATCTTTCTTTTTCATGGATTACCAGTTTTTCCTACCCCTGTTACACTTATAATGTATGCATACCTAGACCTGCGAGTCTTCAAACTGTTCTAACTGCTGATTCTCTAAACAACTGAATAAACATATTTCCAAAAAAAAGGAAATAGAAAATGAAGAAAGTGTGAAACAGATTTAGACTGGAAAAATGCCTTGTATGTTTTCTCTTTAGTGACATTAACGATTTCACGTTCACTACTGTAATCATTACATCAGTATACATTATATTCACTTTTTTAGCACTATCCTATATTTGTTTATCTAAGGAAATCAGATAAATATAGTGCTTTATCCTTGAGAGAACATAGCCCCTATATATATTCTTTTATACATTTCCCAATGTTCTCGGACTCATGGCCATAATCACCCTTTAACTTGTAGCCACATTAATGGTTTACGTGGGAAACAGATCTCTAAAATTTCCTCCACTGGATATTTTACTTCTCAACAGTATCCATTCACTGCTTGAGTCTCAATGCTATTCCTCCTAGTAGTTTTACCACTCTAAATATGTAAGGATGCATTAAACAAAATTGTGCCTGGGCACCATCTTACCAGTGTGGGCCAGGTTCCTATAGGTTTTCTATCTGCAACTAAAACATGAATTAGTTTGTAAGTAATATGCTGCAAAGATACATTGTATATGACAGAGGACTCAAGGTTTCCCTTATCCCCTTGCAGCAGACTATTAACCCATCTGAACAATATTGAAACGTATGTATCCTTCCTTCTGTGTACGAGAAATTGCTATTTTTACAAGACAGCCTTTTCTTTCATTCATTGGAATGGTTGATAACTTCCATTTTCTCTTAAATGATTTTCCATTGCCTTCTAGCAATGATAGCATTTTCCTTCAATACTTTCTGCTAGCGTGAATAGATGGTTATCCATTAAAATGAAAAGCTTTGTTTATTTGGCATTGAGGGAATGAAAGGTAAATGAACCGGTTAATAGACAGTGTTGCATAGTTAGAAACTATCGTAGAAACAGGCTTGTGTCTGAGTCCAATAGACATTAGTGTGTACAGCACATTTCAGAAGGGTATGCATCCAGGGAATGTTTAACTCATTAAGCAAATGAAAATGCAATTTACTATAGGTAAATCTGACTTAAACTTAAAAAAAGTAAAAAGAAATAGGTAAAAATACCAATTGTTTGCTCAGTGATAATAAGCACAAATAAAGGTACAGTTCATTTCCAAAGTATACCTCCATCAACTGTGTATATTTGTTTTGTATAATCATCAGGAATTTATGTAGTGTATTTTAACACATCTAGTATACAACACATCTAGTATAGAACACAAGATGTGGATACTAAAGTCAATCAACCAAAAGCAGCAAACACTAGGTATAGGGACCCCTCTATGTACAAAAAAATGAGTAGCACAAAAAATACAGGAAAACAGGTTGTGCCTAAACAAGTCAGCAGAGTATAAAAGACAAATCAGTAAAATATGAAAGATGAGGCAAACGCCCTGATCCCACTGTACTGGCGTAAACACAGTATTCCGACCTTAGAACAATGGGTACAAAAAGTGGAAGGAGCAAGGGAACTAGAAGACATTCACTGGTCGATAATGGGGAAACGTAATAGGCATCTCAAAACTTGGGAACCCTGGACAGAGTTTTGGACTCATTCCAGGACATAACCGTCCAAGAGACAGCCCTGGGCGGGACTGGACCCTTAGCAGCCAGATAAGAGGAGCGAGTCATGAAACAGCAAAACTATGTTGAATACGGGAAGAGTTTAAAAGGAACCACATAATGGCTACCCCAACCTAGGCAGGGATCACCATCCCCCCCCCCAATGCCTCCCTCCCCACTACCTTTCGATCTTTATGGTTAATCACACACACCACCATACCCGGGAAGGAAAGGGGACAACCTCTTGTTTTCCGACCTCCACTAAAGGAAAAGTGTACACCTTTTTGCATAAACTTGAAGTAACCCCGGACAAGTTTTCTGCCGGGACGCTTACGTTTGTGATGTTAAATGTATCAGAGATGTACTGTTCATGTAAACCCTGAAATGTGATCATTGAATGCTCCCCTTTCTTTTCTGTACCCCATTTCCTTGTACACGAGAAATAAAGACAATTTAAATTAAAAAAAAAAAAAAGATGAAAGATGACAGGTACACTAAGATAAAATATATGGTTCCAATGTTCTTTTACTTGCCTGAGTTCCTAAATGGCTAGTGCCATCCTCATAAGGTTTATATGAAAGAAAAGAAAAGAAAGGGAATCGTGATAGTGTGGTATGTAGCACAATGAATGGATAACAAACGACATAAAGTGCGTACGTTCCCACTAACTTGTAATAGAGCTATCATACAAGCTCTGGTAGTGACAGTGTGGAGTGGTACAATCTGCACCAATGGATATGGATGTAGATATGGTCTCACCGGTGAATCACAGTAAAATATGTAAAGACAAAAATAGCATCCAATAGTATAGTATTGCCAAAGTAAAGTGACTCTAATGTTAAAAAAGGTATAGATTTAAGACGGTTAAATCCTAATTTAAGGAAATGGTTGGTTCACAATTTCTTCAACAGTGTTTTTATTTATGGAACAAAAGAAACAGTATATGCTGCTCTCTGTATAGAAGTACATAGGAAAAGAGATGGAAACGTACTTACATTTTTGGAGCAGTAAAATTGCTCTGTTTTGACAGCATATGTGGTACAGTCCCCACCAAGGATCAGATTGTTCCAAATTGTTGTGCTTCAGGGTAACAAATAAAAGTAAAAAAAAAAAAAGTGTAAAATAATAAAAAAATAGCTGTTCCAAATAATAATGAAACAGTAGTTTACTGAAAATTTGTTAAAAACAGAACAGAAATAATCCACAACGCATTTCACCGGCATTGGCTTTATCAAGTGGGGATCTGAGCCTATGCATTTTTATTGTTTTAGTGCCTGGAATATCCTTTTAAGGCTTCTCAAGGACAGGAGAAGAATGTCACATTTCTGGTTCTCTTGCTTGTGCATTTTTTGACAAAAACAAACACAGCAAAAAAGGCTTGATATTATCAAATTACTTCCAAGAAAACTCATCCACATGGAAATAATGCAATTATAGCAGAACTGCACAGTGCAAAGGTGTTCCTTCTCTGCAAATGTCTTCAATAGCTATTAAGCCACTCCGCACATAGCAGAGTTTCTTATCTATAGCTGCTATTTTGAAGTAAATGTGTGTTTAACTCACAGTCATCTTTTTATCTTATTATGCCAGGCACAGACTGATACTATTTGTAAACCCATGCTTATAAAGTGAAAGCATCTTATTGTACTACAATGATCCACATTCAGATAATGTTTATTATAGTAAGTGTTAAAGGTAAGGCATGTAGTTACATATAAAATATATGTAGTTACATATATATATATATATATATAATAGCATACTAAAAGAAGTTTTAAAAATTTATGTACATATCATGTCGCCAAATCCAACTTACTAACCATAATATGTGCCTATTGCACATCCCATCTGGTCTTTAAGAAATAATTCAACTTGACATGTCTTCATAATCTAACAGCTAGCACTTTATTAAACAAATTCATATTTTTTTCACGAACAAAAAATCAATTGCGGTTGGCAACTGTCCGACTAACCAGCTGTATGACTGTCCTCGTGATTGGATCTTACACTGTCGCTGCTAAATTTTAAGAGATATTTTAAAAGTGAGCAGAGATTGTGTGGGTTCCATTTCTTGCATACTCAGATACTTAGGGGTAAATCACACTCTATAGTTATATAGTTAGCGACATGTTCATAGCTGCCAATGATCCATTGGCAATGCCAAAGTGACCTCAATCGCTTAGATTTTGACAACACTATTTCTTTCATAGTTGAAAAGTGCACTATTCCATACCTTAACCTGTCAAACTTAAATGGACACTCCAGACCCATAAAGCACTTTAGCTTGCTAAAAAGCTTTATGTGTGAATAGTGTGTCCTGTTTTTATTTTGCTGAAAAACTTTATGTGTGAAGAGTGTGTCTTCATTTTATTAGAAATTTACACTTTTATAAATTATACTTGTTACACTCCCCTCGCTTTTTAAGCAGACAACAGGTCCTGTTACTTTCTGGTTTAGTTAGCTTAGCTGCACTGAAATCAAGAGGTAGTTATTGCCCAGAGTACCTGCCTTTCAAAAAAGTCTCATAAGGTTTTGGGAAGTCTGTGATTGGACAGACACAGAAAGTCTGGGCGGGTTTTGTCATGGCAAGGGTGCATAATTCATTATTGCACTATGGAATATTGTCCTTTAATGTAATTTGTGTAATGCCTGCCTGGTAGAGATGGTCAATGTCAAAAGGGGTAATTTTATTGTATGGAAGGTTTATAGCCTTAATCCCTCTTTGAAGCTGGGACCCCCCTCAGAGGTCAGATGACAGAAGGGGTAGTGTAAATTGCATAGGAATGTGAAAAGGGAAACATGTATCCTGTGATTAATCAAAGGCTCTGCCAGGTGTGAAATTCTACACGTGAAAAGTCTGAATGTCTGGCTTCAGGCATATGGCATGTACCTCGTAATTAATTGGTCAATCTCTTTGATATGTTAATGCCCATTAGCCTTGTTCCAGTATCATATCCAAAAGAAAAAAAAAATATTAATATTTACCCACAGAATAATAATTACGCCTCATTTCTGTTATATGTGGAATGTGACAAGCGCCATCTTCTAAACAAACCCAAACATGATTGGCATACCTTGACCATAGGGGAAGGGATTGTGATGTCCGCTATATTGGGTCACAAGTAAGAAGTGTGATATAGAATGGGAAAATAATAGCAGGCGTGGAAAACTATGTTCCGATGGTACACCACCCCAATTCAATTACATAGGATGCACAAATTAGACACAGATGATTGCTGGAGGGGTTGCGGAGACCAAGGAACGTATTTACACATGTGGTGGCAATGCTCAAAGATACGCGGATTCTGGAAGTCTGTGGAGGATTTATTGAAGCAGATATTTGATAAGCCTCTGAGGTTAGACCCCTGGACCTACTTATTAAATAGATCTGTGGATGGGTGGTCCACTCGGGAACAGAAATTAGTACACAAGATTACTTTGTGCGCGCGTCGAACGATAGCGACAGCATGGCTCACTTCAGAGGGCCCGGATTTCGCAGGGGTAATCTCCAGAATTAAAGAATGTAGAATTATGGATGATTTGACAGCAAGGGTGAGGGGGACCACCGCAACATTCCAAAAACTCTGGGAACCATGGGACAATAGCGTATTTGGATCGAGCGGAGATTGAAGGCATACCCCAACTGGTGCTGACCGCGACGATATATCGCCGGTTGGGGTGCTGCCGCCAGCGGAGAGATGGTGGGCCCGCCGTTTCCCCCCCCAGTTCCCTCTTTTCCCTTTTTCAGCCTAGACTAGGCACTACTCGTTCTCTCTCTAATCCTTTTTACTTCCTCTTTTTCTTCCTTTTTCTCTCTTATTTCATCGTTTCATGTGATTTTCAGGCTAGACCAATGATTGGAGGAACAAGGTAACACACTTAGGAAGTTGATCAGCAAATATGATGGCTACTTAACTTTTGCAGATTAGCCTGTACCTTTATCTACCATAAGTTTCCCCGACAAACGGAGAGAGCCAATACTAAGTTACAATTACATGCAAACGACAACCACAACGATTACTTTTTTCTTATATTAAATTGTAATTTAATAGGCCTCTATATTAGCTCGAAAGTGACCGTATAACTGTCGAATTACCCGATCATTGATGTATATCCTAGAAGGGGGTAATTAAAAAATTTAAAAACACCTCGATAGACGGCAGGTGCCAGTAGATTCATTAAATGGCGGAGCACACATTGTCCTTGCCTTGTCTTTGTTGTTTACTCTTTGTGTTTTATTTTCTTGGCAAACTTTGTAATGTTCCCACAATGTTGAACATGTTGGCTTCTGCGTAAGCCTGAAAGTTGATGTACACTTGCTGATTCTATTGAGTAAAAATAAAGAATTAAAAAAAAAAAAAGAATGGGAAAATAATAACAAATTCATAGATGCAGTTATTATTTCTGTGGCAGGTACATAAGAGAAGATAGAACCAAATGTTTCCAGTTGGATTGATGTGGATCTGGACACAAGGGGGTGGTCACTCAGTGTCTCTATAAATATAAGTGGAAAACAGATATATAAGTGGAGCGCAAACCAATAATATCAAAGAGCCCCTGTGTACACCAATAAGTGCAAAATATGGCAATATAGAGAGGTATACTTAGGTAGCTCTGGGTAAATCCAGGACACTCATGAAAAACAATAAGTGGCTGTCCCCCCAGGACAGCCACTTCCATGACAACCATCACGATTGTCAAGCTCTGAATGGAATTATTTTTCTGTTATGAAATTCAACCACATAAAGGACATACTAGATCACAGAAAACATGTTAACTAAGTAAAGCATTCGGCAAAACATCTCCACTAACCTGATAATGTTGTCAAGAAACATTAGCAAACTTATAGAAAACAATTCAATGACAAGTAAGCACTGTTACAACAAAATAACTTAACAAGCGGGGCAGTCCTGGCTTCGGGGTCCTGTGACACAGTCCTGATTTATTTCCCGGCTGTTCCACATCTGGGGACACCAAGGAACTGTCCCGTGGCAGCACATCACTGGACATGGTCTGGGTGCCTTGAAAAACTTTGACCTGCCATATAGTTAGTGAGTGCTGTGAGATCGTATCTCAGTACCCTCCGCTTGTTGGATC